GGAGGAGCTTATTTGTTGGAGGCGACCCCTAACCGCCTCCCATGTACTTCCCAGCCGCTTTGTTGCAGGCTTTTGCCCGACTTGACTCGTAGAGATAAAGTTTTGTCAAATCGGCGCGACTAACCGGGCGGGATTCCTCAAAGAGGGAGTTCCGTGGTAGTTGTGTATACGAAATCACAAACGTGCACACTATGGGGAGATCAACGAAGAGTTGGAGCGCAAATCTCAACCATACAAAACCTTTAAAGTATAAAGGTACAGCGACTTTTGTGATGTTAAGAACTTCCAGCTTTACTGAAAAGTAGCATAAACGTATTGAACAAATTAGCTCGAAAATCACTACATCACTCGACAATTACCTGACTTCCAAAAGTTTGCTATGAATTCTATAATAAATTTAGATGATACAAATACTTAGATCACGCAACTAAATCCAGTGGTGGACTTTGTGAGAATCACGTGACTAGGGCCGGCAATGAGGTCATATGCTTATCAACCTTTTTGAATGTGTATTGAGTCGGGTTCATTGGTTAAAGGCGCCTGGCGATACACAAACGTTTGATCGCTCGTCTGGTTATAAGCCTATGCGCTGGTGCACCCCTAAGAAATTGAAAGTTTTGCTCATATGAAACCTCGGGATGAAATAAACAACACTAGATAGTTCAAAATAATTATGTAATTCAGGTTCTTCATCTAATTTTTTCTGATTTTTTATTCCACTTGCTAGATCATATGAAGAATTATATAGATTTATTTAGTTTGCTAGAGTCATATAATTTATTCATGCTTCCTAATCTTTCTATCTATATCTTCACATTCCAAGTATTTCACATACCCAAGTTGAGCATAAGATATTGAGTAGGTTTTTTCAGCAGTGATTTGACTTTTAGAGCAAGATATACCTAATAATACCTTTGAAAGTCTTTTGTAAATGAAGTATACTGCTTCAACTCACCATATGTGACATGACCCATTCGATAGTGATGTTTTCCTTGCCATTTTTCGCGAATCCAGGCCAATGCTTTGAAACACGGTCATCATAGCTTAATCGTCCACGATCGGCAAGAATTGCTATACACACAGCCGCAACCGCCTTCGTACTGGAGAATACAACACTAATTGTGTCCTGAAAATACATAGTCACTATTGCTACTCAGAATCCTTTGTACCATGAGGAGACGGCAGGTCGTTTTCGTCCCCGTAATTGACTAGCATAGCCTCATTTAGGAGAATATGTCTCCTCTTTTTTGAGTTTGCAAATTTGAACTAAGTTATTTTTGAGCCATGCATGTGGCTTGTTAGGGGCACTTATACAGTGCCATCGTGTGTACAACACTGCCCATTCAATCATATTTTCACTTAGTGAAGCATGTAAATAGTAGGTCTGAGGCTTTTTTATGGAAGAGGGTTGGGTTTCATCTGGGAATAGCTAAGACGAAAGGCACTGTGCCACTGACGAGGCCACGCAATACCGAAACACGTGCATAGCACTGTATAAGTGCCCATAACAGACCACATGCACGGCTCAAAAATGGCTACCAGGCATATTGAAATTTGAGTGTGATCTAAAGAAGCACTCGAAACGAACGGTATGATATTTTATTTGAATTAGAGATAAGCCCCCACAGAGATTAGCAAAAGACAGGAAAGGGTATCTGCCCGACTGATGAGACTGTAGGGTCGACACACGTATATCGGGCTCTACAAGTCAGCTCATTTCAACAGACCACATGACATGCGTGCCTCAAAAATGGTGGTTTTATGGCATATTGAAATTTGAGCTGTGGTCTTAAGAAAACACTCGAAACAAATTATATGTTATTTTTATTTAGTTATCCGCAAATATATATCAAATCTGAATTACATTTCACGTGTACATTCTTTAGCAATGCTCCTAATTTTGAAAGCTGTTTTATCATATTCTGATGCAAAGCTCATCGCATACACTTTCGCTTTGCTCAGTTAATTTCAAGCAAGATTCCTTTATCTGAAAAATTTCGAAAGCGTCGATTTCAGATCCAAAATAGTAAATTGGAGGAGTTTACCTCGACAAAATGAAAGTTGGTTGTACACGGCGCAAATATCACGGTTTAACATTGGCTTGGAAGATTACATCGTGAGGAAATAATCATTGAAAATAATGGAGAACTCGAACGTCTTTCTGTTAACAACGTTGAATTAGATACTTGCCGCAACCGAATACTCGTACAGTAGTTCGAACTTGCAGAAGTTGGTATAAGCATCACTACTGTTTTGAAATACCCAAGAACGCTGAGTGATATGCAAAACTGATAAGCTCAGGTGTGAGTTAAATCGGCGTTTCACCCTCAACTAGAATTGCTAGGTGGTGTTAGCGAAAGCACATCCTTTCTCTAAGGGTGGAACGTGGCGTCAACTCCCGCCTAAGGCTATAAGCTTTGCATATCACTCAACAATGCGGGTATATAGTTACAACAATATAACGCTGCTGGAAAGGCGCTAAAACAAAGGATTAACTTTTTAGAATGTTTGACTGCATAAGTTGAAAGGTCGAAGAAACTCTAAAGATTGACGCCTCAACCAGAAATTCAACAAGATCATAAAAGTCTTTTTGGTATGCTGTTGGCGCTTTTTGTGCACTCAGAAAGTTCAGTTTCTTGACAGTATTTTGGCGCACGACGGAAAGCATTGCTTCATAGCAGCAATGCGAATGCTTAGTGGTTAGAAAGCGATGAAGCTTGGCAGTATTTTCCAAGTTTCAGCCTTGCCCAAAAAATCATGTTGAACGTTAGATACTCTACACTCTATTCGACTTTACTAACTCATCACGTACTCCTAAATTCACGTGAATAGATTACGACAACACATCGCTGTGCCGGACATTGGTCAAAGGAAACCGAGCACTCACGATAATTCGCGTCCAAATGTTTCTCTTCTGACGCTGCAAAAATCGAACGAGCTGAGCTATAAAATTTACCCTATTCACTACACGACAAAACTTCTTGGCTAAAAACTACTCCTTCAAACATCTGGACAACATTCTATATGAGAAATCTGTCTTTAAATTCATGCTTTTCGGAAGCATGGAATTTTATGCGGGTGGCAAAAATAAACTTGATTCTTGTTGGCAAGAACGTATTAATTCTAATAGTTATTATTTCAATAAGTGAGATATAGTATTTTGAGAATGTGGCATTGATTTTTGATTAGCCTAGTACCCTGCAATAGATACTAATCTGACGCTTCGAACATTTGAGTAATCGAAAATCGCAAGAGAACCGAAAATCAGAGGAAGTTCTTCAATAAATGTCAAGAAGAAAGAAAAGTATCAAGAATTACAGAGCGCGCGACGTGCGAGCGCATCATAATAAATAATTTGCACACAAGCTTCGAATGAATTCCAAGTATAAAAGCTAATTCTAAGCATTGAATTTATCCACTAATGCAGTTTTTCACCTCTAATTTTCTGAGCGATCGATTATTGGATACTCGATGGCAATCACCTGTTTCCATTTCCGATCCGCATGTTTGTCGGCGTAACCGCCCCATACGTCAACCACTTTTTCTCCCTTCACAAAAACCGTCAATGAAGCTCCTTCGGCTTCCCAGCCATCCAAAAAATTCTGTCTATATGAATGTCAATATGTTCAAGATGTACTTATTATCACATCATGTTCAAAAATTAGCCCTTGTGGGGAGATGTGGTAGCATCAATTTTTGGACTGCGAAGGCGCGTGGGAAACATAATCTTATGATGAATGTTACAGAGTTGTAAGAAGACTTTTCTGAAGATCAAGTACAGTTTTGAACTCGCCGAAATTTGCGGACATTTGATGGTCATTAATGGTTTAGAAAAAAAACTTTACACAGCTATAAATTACGCCTTATACACAAACGCGCGGCGCGTGCGAAACATAATCTTATTTGAATGCTACAGCGCTGTGAAAAGGCCTGTACATGAAACGATTATGGACTGCAGCTCCCCAAGATTTGAGCTTCGAATTATTACCAACACTTCCACGAAAAAAATGTGTTTGTCCAACAAAAGAGGCCTCTTCACAATTCCCTGCAGATCTGAAGGGACCACAACTCTCCACTTTGATGTGTATTCTATCAGCTAGAGGCATTGTAGATACAGCATGATTTTCGTCTAATTTAAAGCAAATCGAGCAGAATAGCATCATGAAAGGAATCACCAAACTAACTGAAAAGCCTTGCGAACACCATCAAATCCTTTCACAGTATCCCCTTCAAAATAAAGTGGGTACTTGGTGAAGAGAATGTTTGTGACGATATGTACAATCGTACCAAATGCGCCCAAAATTGCTGCATAGCGTAACATTCTGAAATGAGATTCAATATTACACCCAGTCGTATCAAATTAAAAGTGTTATCGTTTCCACCGGTGAAAAATTACAACAAAGTAATCGCAGCAGTACAAGTAACGAGCAATGAATGGCATGCATAGTACAAGGAGAACGGAGTGTTATCAGCGTCTATCGCACAACAATGGTGTGTGTTAATCGGAATTAGACACAACTTATCTAAAAATTCTTAGCAGTATGGAAGCTATAGTGTCAACCTACGATTGAGCGGGTAGATGAACTACCGTCGTTTGGAAGCTGCAATTTTCTCAATTTTCTTACCTGTGATTTCCCTTTTCCTCTTTATACCTTTCTTGGAAGTAAATAACATACCATTCTCTCAAAACAACACAGCGGCATTGTTTTTCTCTCTCTCTCAAAACACGATAACAAACCATTCTCTCAAAGTAACCAAAAGCAACCTCTAAAGCGGTCCAACATGAGATGCGTCATGATATCAGTGTCTGTAAATCACGCGCTTCAATCAAGCGGAAAAAAAGCGGTGTTTAAAATATATTGATGGTATATATTTTAGAATAATGTACTGTCATGTATTTCTAAGCTGATACACGAAATTTCTAGTGTTTTTACTGCATTTTTCGCAGTGTTATCATGTTTCATACATACCTAAGATAATTGAGTGGTGAGCAAAAATACGACCTCAGAGGGAGTCGAACCCGTGTTTCATTCTATCCAGGGACGCGTGCTATCACTACACCACAGAGGTACGTTCGCGCCACCACTCATTCTTCAACATCTCTATGTTCTGTCAGCCACCAACCTTTAACAGGTTTAGTCGAAAATGCGATTTTGCTTCATAATCTCAGCTGATAAAGCTGATAAACACCAAGAGAACTGATATGTAATATTATTTAGGAGGCTTTTTCTTTGAAAAGAAACCAAGAGGTCATAATTCTTTCTATTTTGACTGCCACTTGCAGTGGTATGATGTTCATAGTATACCCAATATGTGGAGTACTCTGCAAAAACGTTTGCGTCAGCCGGGATTCGAACCCAGATCTCACTCTTTCCGGGAGCGTATGCTAACCGTTTGCACTACCGACGCTCGTTCTGCACAGCAAAAATCAAGAGGATTGATACGTAATATTATATTAGAGGTTTTTTTTTTGCACTGCACTCCACGTTATTGGGTATACCGTAACATCATACCACTGGCAACTGGCAGTCAAATAAAAGAATTCTGACTGGAAATGATGAATATAAAGATTTGATTCCAAGGACCGTCTATCTGCCATGTAACTGATATGAAGAAGTTATCCGTAGATTTCACGGCATCAATAATTAAATTGCTCATTTTCACTTAGGCATAGACGAGGTTGCTGGTATAAGGCCTCTACAGCAAAGGCGAACGCTTGGCGGCTTAGCTTCTTTAGAGTCTACAAGGCAAACAGCTGTAAAAAGTGCAGTAGAGAAATTCTATGCGGGTTCAGAGGAAAGCGACGGACTCAAACGATAAGTCTTGTGGGAATGAGGTCCCGTTCATTCTGCCCTTTATAACGAAGTAAGCACAGCTAGCATATCAAACGCGACTTAAGAAGGCATGTTTGAACAATACGGCAGCAACAACTCAGTGTGACCCCGAAACACTTGAAGACGGCAACTGGTCGCTAACCGATATGACTGTCTTTGCGAATCGAAACCTGTAAGTTCGCTTTAACAGTAAAGATGGGAACCGCATGGGATCTGGTACGGAATACCTAATCTATTGTAAGGTATGCAGGGCCAAATATATTGACGAAATGGGTAGACCATTCTGCTTCCGTATGAAGGAGCACCTATATGATAAACTCAAAGCCAAACAAAGCACTCCACTAAACATTTCTAGGGATCAAAATCTTAAGGGAAAGATTCTGATGCATAAGTCAGCTTTTTCGTTCACAAATCCAAACCATCTGCCTGAAAAACTTTTTAGGCTTCATAAATATTAGGAATCAATAATGAACCGCAAGGAGGAATGTCTTGTAACTATGGGTAACATCGCATCATAGATCAGGTAAATTTCTCTGACCTGAGCCAGGCAACGCTCATACTCGATTCAAAGCTCTGAGCGGTTGCTTCCAATGAAATAATGCTATCTACCATGTGATTTGAAAAAAAAAAAATAGTTCACTACATCTTTCTGCCGTGGCCGAGTGGTTGCTGATGCTCCTCTCTGCGCTCGCGGGCTAAACGCCGCCCTAATACTCTCCTGCACTCAAGAACGAATGCCCTAATGAAAGCCACAGCCAGGATACACTAGAGACTACAAGGAGACTTGCTCAACCAGTATCCCGCGACTTTCAAGAAGAAGACGAAGAAAAAAAAACGAATCGAATGCTAGAAGTACTACGATCCGCATAATAAAAATTGCTATGACGGGTCGGGTTAAATGTTAATAAAAAAAAAAAGAAAGCTGAGGTTAATAGAAGGAAATCATTATCTGATGTAACTATTGCAAACCCACAGTTTGATGAATGTGATTTTGAGCCATGCAGTAATACTAGTATGATGGAAATAATGGCATTAATAAAACTATGATAGTAGTCTGATACAAGTTTTTGAGCCTTTTTCAGTTCAAGCACAATGAGTGGAACGTCCAATAATGCCTACTATAATGTAATAATATATAATAGTGTAATAATATAATATCAACAATAAAATAAATAATAAAACGATAATGACAATAATAATGGCAATAATAATAACGGGAGTATAAAACAATAATATTGATTATTATAGCAGTGATAATAATTACAATAATAACAATGTTGAATTGCTCTGAAAAATTACGATAGCCCTTACAGGAAGCATATGTACAGCCTTAGAAACGTAAGAAATGGTCTCTTCACTAAGTTTTTGAGCTCCTCAGTTTTCTTGAGTTAATTGTTAAGCAAAAAACGAAAACCATAACTACTACTAACGGGAGAAAAAAAGGAGAAAAAAACAGAGAGAATGTAAATTTCGGAGAGATACGCTTGTTTGCCAAGCTCTCGAATTGTGACAGGGAGGAGAGGCGATGATGTTGTTGCCGAAGTTGTTGACGAGAGATAGAAACTCGACAACAAAAATAACACCCAGAGACTACTCCGAACGTGTGTTATCCTCAGTGAAGAGAAAAAGAAAAAACGATTAACTAGTTTGGGTACAAATCCGTTACCTCGCTTCATTTTCCAACTTCTTAGGAATAAGAACGTTCGCGACTCTCTTTAGAGTTTCAAAAATCATTCAATCAAAATCTTGACTAGTGCGCTATAGTGGCGAAAATAAAATTGAGTTTCACCCCCGGCGCACAGTTTTTGCTCGGCGAGTTTTGTGGATGGTCTCTCAACAGACCATAAGTTATAGTCGATAGCCTAGGTTTAGGTGATTCTGAGGCTAACTTTGGTTTTTGAGAAGGTCTTTTTTGAGCGCTGAAAGAGCGAAAAGAAGATTACTTATCGCACTCCTATGCTTAAGGTGTTTAGATTTGGGCTTAGTATCAGATTATTTTGGGAATACAAAAAGAAAATGGAAGTCTAAGCTCATTAAACATTGTAATAAAGTAACTTCTACAATTTTTATGAGGAAAAATATCGAAGGTCCAATGGAACGGACAAAAAAAATTTTGAAAAAAATAACGAAAATAATCGCTGAAGTGCGCGCCGAAAAGAGATACCTAATTTTATTCCCTTCTATAGCGTTTCGAGAAGGTTTTTCAGATATCAAGTAATAGTGTTAAAATTGTCGAGATAGATGCCATCGAATATCTTTCCTGAAAGTCTGCAGAAAAACATTTTCCCATAGAGTTTAAAATGGATTGAACTAACGAAAAAGTAAACGCGTATGAAAGGTAAGCTTGAGAACCAAAGTTTTGGAGATTCTATAATCTAATTTCGTATGCCTAGAGTTATAGTTAAAGTTGCCTGTGGCTTTCAAACAACAAACGTGTTCTCGTCTACCTGAATTAGCACCATGCAATGCAGTTGTCAACTGCAAATGAGGCACACGTGATCTTTCCTGCAATTGTGCCCCTAAAGCTAGCGCAAAGCTTTTCGCTCTTTCAGAGTAGGTAATATGGTGTCAGACTTTTCAACAATAATAAAAACACTGTCCTGATAATCAACGGCTCACAAAAGGAATTATATGGGTCGTAAATAGAGTAAATTACCTCTGCAGTGCTATGAACTGGATCGAATGCATAATGCGTCTCTAGGATACTGATCAACGTGGGAACGTTTATCTTTTCAAGTCTTTCTTGTCTCTTCTCTTCTCGTCTTCACAATTGCGTAAAATCGTACGAGGCTTAACACAACCACCACTTGATCCTAACTCGCTTATTCGGCAAAGTTCTCTTCCTTTGGTGTATATAGAATCATCCTAAAATCTTTCAGTATGTGCGCCACCTGCCATGTAGTAATAAGGATGTTGTTATCAGATTTGTAGTGATCAGGAAGCTAGGCTTTCTAGATGAAAAAGTATCAGAGCAGCGTTTTCATATTTCTTTCTTTTCCTCGCTGAATGCGCTTGTTAAATTAGTACCGACTGCAGCAGATTGGGGCACTTCTGAAAGAGTAGAGTTTGCTTGATCGGTGCTCCAGTACACTGTTTTCGACTAGATAAGACAACTAAGAAGACTCATATTGCATGAGTGAGCAGCTGTGAGGAATGGGCTCGGATCAAAGGGTGTTCTCAAGAAACAGATTTCGTCAAAATATTATCCAGAATCGAGATAAAGATTTTACAGCGGCCTCATACCCACTTGCATACAAAAAGATACATCATAGGTGTTTTCATACGACACTTATGTGTCCAATAATAAGAACAAACCACCAACTGGACGTGAAAGAGTAATAACAATATTGATCTCACAACTATTAGTTCCAATAGTAGCACATGATCGAGATGCGAGGCACGAAGCTTAACGTGCAATTATACATGCTTAAGTTATCCTTTTTGAGCACACACTATATTGGTATAAGTTCTATACAAAGAGAGTCGCTAACGTTCCCACAATTTTACTTTTCTCAGGATACTTTGACTGCTTAGATGACAACGCCATCAGTGCGTTGTCACACACTATGAGTGCACAAAGAATTCCTCAAAAACTATGCAAAGTAATAATTCACTTGACTTACAGTGTAAATCGTTCGTGTTTGCTACCTAATTATAGGGAAGCAGGGGCTACCGAAAGGTTGGCTAAAAGATTGAAAGACAGTGGGTTCTGCACGGACTGACGAAATTGCAAGGTCGAAACACGTCTATCGGAGTGTACAAGAGCCATAACAGACAACATGACATATTGGACCAAATAACAGTTATGAAACAGCAGTTCAAACGATACCGCATGAGCACCGAAAGTCCAGCAAAAAGCCGTCCGAGAGACCCGAACTGAGCGAACAAATCAACAGAGTATGAAACATGATAATGTTTTTGCAGCTACATCGCTGTAAGAAAGGTCTTCCAGAAACCATAAAAAATTTTATAATTGCCAAGATTTAAACTTTTGAACTAACGACCTAAAACTCAGGAAAGGTTTTTTTCTTTCAAGAAAGGCCTCAGAAAAATGTGCCTCTTAGTGGATATACGCCGTCCCAAAAGGTTTAATCATTTGCTTGCTACAGGATGCACTTACGCCTCAAAAGTACATCATAATATAATGAGAATATATCAACATCGATCTTGTATGGAAAGGCACTGTTGAGATTCATCATTGCAATCGTGTTGCCACTTCAAATTATTCAAATTATT